GCCCTCATTGATTGCATCATCACACAATTCGGCCTGAAGGACGCCATTCCCGTGCTGATCCCCATGGAGCCTGGCCTCCACTTGTCTCGTCGTGATCATTCCCCCCATAACAATGCCGAACACAACCTCATGGCCCGTACCCCATACCACTCACTCATTGGCTCCCTCATGTACCTAGCGATTAGTACCCGCCCTAATATCTCTTACACTGTCCAACAACTCTGTAAATTCCTTGACAGTTACGGGCACGTCCACTGGGAGGCCACCAAATGTGTTGTTTGTTATCTCAAAGGCACTCATGAGCTCCATCTTGTCCTTGGTGGGGACCACACCATGCGTCTTCTTGCCTACACCAACAGTGACCTTGCCAGCTGTGTTGACACGCATCGCTCAGTCAGTGGATACTGCTGTTCCCTTGGAAGCAGGCTCATCACATGGAGCACATGGCAACAGAAGACCGTCGCCCTCTCCATCTGTGAAGCTGAGTATGTTGCTGCATCCGAGGCCGGAAAAGAAATCAAATGGATCCGCACCATCCTCCATGAACTTGAATTCACTCAATCTTCCACTTCCCCCCTCATGTGTGACAACAATGGTGCGATTGTACTTACCGAAGACAACTCCTTCCATGCTCGAGTAAAGCACATCGACATGGCATATCATTCCATCCGCAAACGAGTCTCCCTGTGACAACTCAAACTACATTATGTATGATCCAAAGAAAACCTCGTGGACATCTTCACCAAGGCTCTAGTGAAACCAGACTACATCTGCCTGTGCACATACCTTGGACTATGGTGAATAAGTCGAGGAGGAGCACGCGTCATGTCAAGGAGGAGTGTTAGCACACATTACATGCACATGACGAGCGCAATGCCGCAGAATGCCAACCAAAATTATATATAGTGGTTCATGTTCATTTTCCCTTTTCCCTCAGTCTGTTACGCACACGACTGAGGGTACATTTTATCTATTTTCTCTCCTGACTATGTACGGACACTAATAATCTACCTATGATAGATCTAACTGTGTCTAGGTACATAGCAATCTCAGTCTGTTACACACACAACTGAGGATCTAACTGTGTCTAGATTTAACATACTAATAGATTTTCCATATGCTTTGGGCATAGCTTTTACTTTGCTGACTGATTACTTACATGATATCTACAGCATATAAACTCCTGTAAAACTCTGTACCTCCTCAGTTCGAATATCATCTTAGTTCCTGCTCATTCCTGTTTCTCTGGACTTGAGTCTGATCTCTTGTCCACCTCTGAGTCTTGGGTTTATTCCTTAAGACTATATCTCCAGTTCTACCTTAGGGTAGTCTATCTCTGTTTCGTTTCTACTCCGGACTTGTCCGAAGTAGCCTTATTCTACTTACTCCTAGCCTTCCAGAGTTCTGCTGAACTCCCCTTGTGTCTGACCTCCAGACTTACCCAGACTTCTGTTGGACTTCTGCCCCTCGGAAATTAAGGGCATGTACTTGGGTAAGGGGCGCAGCACATGAGCTGAAGCCAAGCCCTTTGAGTTACTCTTCCCTTGAGCATGACCTTAACACAGGCCAGGTTCCTATGGTATGGGAAACCAGCCTGAAAGGCCCATGATTCTCTGATCTTATTTAGGATCTGTTCTAAAAATAATATCACACCTTGTTGCCCTCCTGCTACTACCTCATTGCCCTCCCACCAGGCTGCTCACATGCTCCACCTCCTGGCTCTAGGATGCCTGGATGCCTCACACTGCCCTTGAGTCCTGAGGACCTCCCTACCTCAATGTGGATTTTTGTGTACTATGTATCACACTGAAGCTGCATGCACTGCTTGTACCCCATGAGGCCACTGATGGAAAGAAGCAAAAAGCAGCCATGAATAGCTTTAATGACATGGGAGTCATGGCATTAATATGTTGCCATGACATTCCCCTCTTCTTTGCAAACATCAACACTCTAGACAAGTAGCAAAAATATGCTGTCACCCTTATTGACCACCTTTTCACTTTATTACCTCAAAGCGCAACAGTTGTCACTCTGTATGACATGGGATGTGTTCTCTCATGATCTGTCATATACCTGATTTGACTGCTCCAACAATATTGATATCCACTCTGCCCAACCTTACACCCCCCCACTTTCCCATCACCTCCACTTTGTCTGCCCTCTACTTGATCCAGTCAGCTCCCGCATCGGCTCCTGCACTCCCGCCTGACTGCCTCATCAGTTACCTTCCATATCATCTCCACTCCCCTGGAACCTCTTTCCCCATTTAGGTATATACTTTCCCTGTTGGTACATAAAACTTACTTCCTGGATCACCGGTACTTCCTATAACCACTCGACTAACTGATCTGACATGTACATATTGATATCCACTCCGACTTATGTTTTCACCTGTGTTTACTTACAAATTGTATACTCGGTACATAGCCACATACCAAGGACTACTAGTCACTGCCTCCTACATAGAAGTATATAAAAACATACCATGTATTTAGCTACTCCTCATTCTTAATATTACTTGTCTTCCCACAGTCTCTACTAGTGGGAATACTCCGTAGGACTCTGCTCTCTCTGGACACAAGATTACCTTGTCATCACCTCCGATACTCTGCTCCAACTTAGAGCAGTGTTCTAGAATATTCACCCTTACTTCTCTGACCTACCTAATCAGTCTTCCTATCCCCCTCTGCCCCAAAACACTTTCTCCACCTCACCCACTCTGCTTCTAGTCGGACTGCCGCTAGAAGCTCTTACCTCTCAACACGTAAAGTGGACCAAAGCAGACCGCCCATCCTATTGTTGGACATCATCAGTTCCACTCCAAATTTGGGGCATGTACTTGGCTAAGGGCACAGCGCAAGAGCTGAAGCCAAGCCCCAACCCCTCCACTTCTCTGTCTGAGCACGGTTCCTAACATGATAATTAAGTCAGGTGAGTCATTTCTGTGATTCTTCAAACCTTATTGCTGATCCATTTCAGTACAACATACTTCCTGAAGCATGAAGCACTTGCGATTTGCAACAATGGCCATGCATGCCTAAGCAACAAGCAAGGTTATTTCAAAGGGAAATGTATCCCAATGCACACTCAATGCAATTGAGAGCCTTGAATGAAGTCACCAATGCCTCATGGACAAAGTTGATGTGTTATATGCTTCCCTCAATGTTCATGACAAGTTCTCTGAGCTGGTGTTAAGGTCGTGCTCAAGGGGGAGGTTACTCAAAGGGCTTCAGCTTCAGCTCGTGCACTGTGCCCCTTACCCAAGTACGTGCCCTTAATTTCCAGTGGGCAGAGGGGAAGTCTGACAGAAGTCTGGGGAGTTCCAGAGGACAAACGTCGGTGGAGTTCTGGAAGACTATGTGGGGATGGAGTAAGGCTACTATGGAAGTCCGGAGTAGAAACAGAACAGAGGTTAGACTACCCTAAGGTAGAGCCGGAGGATTAGTCCTAAGGTTTAACCCCTAAGACTTGGAGGTGGACAAGAGATGAGACTCAAGTCTGGAGATTGCAGGAATGAGCAGAACTAAGATGATATTTGAACTAAGGAGTTCTGGAGTATTACAGGGGTTTATATACTGTAGGTATCATGTAAGTAAATCAGTCAGTAAAGGTAAGGGCTATGTATGAAGCATGTGGAAAGTCTATTACTAAGTGTAACGGATCAAAGCAGTGAAGTCGGAAATGAAGTAAGAATGGACAGATCAGTAAGCATAGCGGAATAGGACATAACCGGTAACCAGAGCAATAGCTAATCTAAAAGGAGTTAAGGGTGAGTGCGGAGATGAAGGCGGAGCGCTGGGCGGAATAGTAGGACAGAGGACAGGACTTTAATGAAGTAGATCCAGAATTCCGGATCCGGAGGTACGGGATATGACAGCTGGAAGGAATCAACATCAAATTTGTTCAGACACTTCTCTTGGCATGCTGTGGGATGTGAGTTGCTACTGAGCTAGTATTCCCCTATCTTTCCGATCCTCTTTGACCCACTTTCCCACACTGCTGCTCCACATCAATGTTGGCTGACGATTGGCCAAGTCAGTCATGAGCAATCCAAGTTGGACATCGTCTGCACATGCAATCGGTTATTGTCCATCATCCCATGTCATTGGCCTGTTGTCTACTGGTATGTATAGACCCGACTTTGATCACTTTCCATCCCCATTTGCATAATTGGACTGCTTATCGGCCTTTTATTGCCCTACCTCACACCTTATTACATGGACACAGAGAAATGAGTATTTAGTGATCCATGAGGCATCTTAAGCAACCCAAAGTTCACCTTCATTGCTTAGTCTCATTTACTATATATTCCGCCCATGTTCTCAGTAGTTTCTCTAGCAATTCTCACTTGGAATGATTTCTTGTGTGATTTCTCATTGAGTTGTTGGCCAACTCTCTTAACCTTCACTCATTGTACTATGCATGCAACTCCTCTATCCTGCTCTTTCATCACTTGGGTCTGCTCAGGAAGGACTGCTCCACTTTGCTTAGTTTCACTCTCCCTTTGCTCAAATTTGCTTGGCCGAGTTGGTATTGGCATTGGCATTGACTATTAGGTTGGACAATATGACTTGTTGTTCATGGTTTGCATTGCACTGCTTCCCCTATAGGGTTGAATGCACTTGAATCAGCCGCAGTTACGCTGATATCGCAGTAGCAACCAAAACCCATAATGCAACCTCAAGATCGACATTTGGAAGTGTGCAATTGGGAGCTTCTTTGAATGGGACAAGCTTGATTGTACTGTCAGTGGCACACAACAAGCATTAGGTAGGTGGCTAGACTTGCTTCATGATGTGCATTAACACTTTGCAGGGACAAAACTTCACCAGCAGACCCAAAAGGCCATATTGAAGTGACAACCAGCCTTGCTGGCTGCACTATGTAAATTCAATGGATACTGCGAGCACCTTGAAGAACTATACAAACCAGGCTGTGGTATTCCTCTTCCAATACCTCTCCCAACCAAGCTGAATGAACTCCACAATGACCAAACACTGATGAAGGATATTTGGATTACACCTTTGGTGGGGGAGGTTCCTCATTGGCTGGATGATCAGGATATCCATGATGGGATATGTACTATGTTAAAGCATGATAGATGCATCAAGGAGCAGCAACATCTTGGGCTAGAATCTGACAACCTTTGCAGGTGGTTTGGTGATGAACTCGCTGCAATAGAACTTGCTCTGCAGTTGCCTGAAAGTATGTACTTTTGTTGATGTCCATCTTCAATACATGGACTAATTGTGTCACAGACATTAGATTTTCTATCTCACTATGTCAGTGGTGGGAACATCTCCAATATCTTCAAATCCATTGTTCTAACCCACTTGCACCATCACTATGATTTGAGTCCCATGCAAAACATGCTGAATCATTAGTGATGCAGATCTTAGGTACCTCCCAAGACACTGTGCTTCACTGGAAATTCTGGCACTACCCTGGAGGAGGGCAAAGAGGAGGGTGAAGAGGATCTAGAAGTGTTTGCTGTGTCCTTTGATGATCCTCCACCTGAGCACATTGCCCTTGCTGACATCATAAACATTGACACTCCTGACAGTGAAGATGAAGAAGACATCAATATTGCAACTCAGCCTTGCACTCTTATCACCTGACACACTCCCAAGGTGAGTAACCTTTCATTTGCAGATGTCCATGTGTTCATCATTTATCAAGCAAGTCATTGTTGACCCAGTACCACCAATGAATGACACTACTGTTATTATCCCAGGAATCATCAGAACCAGGGTTCATCCTCCTGTGATGCATTCCCATGTCAAACTTTCAAATCAAAGGACATCAAGATCCTCACATTGCCTACTGCACTGCTGATTGACAGTCTCATCAATGGCTGTGCAGAATTGCTTTATTCTAAGTCTCTGCAAGCTTCTCCCGCTGTAATGCAATATGTGATCCTGTTCATGCATGACCTCCCCTGCATTCAGTACAATGTGTCTGATGACATGCTTTGGCACAACATATCATGGACTTCTTATTGGGCCAAGGACATGTGGATAATACCAATTCATAGACCTTCAATCATTGGTCATTGGGTGTTGTGTACTGTGCACCTCCAGAGCAAGGAGCTTCACTTATTTGATAGCTTTGCCGAGCAATGACCTTGGAAGAGTGATGTCAAAGTGAGCACCATTATAGTCCCTCTTTTATTGTTCATCCAGGATCAACACATGTCTAGGATATTATGAAATTGATTGTTCAACTTTTCAACATCACTCAGCAACATGATTATGCATTCAGAGTCAACATTGACTTTGATGGTTGGATTGCATGTCTGCTAATAGTAAGTATGTCATAAATTGGACATGTACATGTATTCTGATTCAATCTCAGACAACAGCTGTTCAGACCAATGGCTATGACTGCAGTGTATGGGTGCTTGCGATGATCACAGCAAAATTGCATGGATGCCACTCTACAGCTTTGAAGGAAGATGATATGTCTGCCCAGATTTATGGTTTCTCAGCAGGGCCAGCCATCTGACCCAAAGAACCTCTATGTGATGCTTCACAAGTGTGCCTCCATTATTCAGCCACATTTCCATATGACAGATGGCCAACATGTGGGCACACCAATATGGGTGGTTAGGTGTCATCTCCCCTGAGAGTACCATGATGTCAGCATGCATTCTAGGGTTAATTGTATCATACTTGTGCCTCATGTCATATGTAGTGTAGTGTACTTGCATGGTCCGAACAGCATAGATTGTGTCATTACCAAGTTTTGCTCTTTGTCTGTGAACATGTGGTTGCAGTAGCTGATATTAAGTTTGCGCAACCTGTAAGGAATGTGGTTCTTAAGTTTTGGTATAAAATTCTGACAGCCACTTATGAGTATGGTGCATTGAAAAAATAAATGTGATATTACTGCTACCTTGAGAGCCAGATCATCAGTATGGTCTTGAAGGAACATGAATAAAGCAACTGGATGATTCTGACTGATTGCAATATGGTGATGCTTTCTGGAGGAGGGAGCATCAACTAGAGATAGACTGATAGAGGGGGATGTACCTATAAAGACTAGACACTGTGTTAGCCCTCAGTTGTGATGGAACTGACTATATTATTCTGTACCTAGACACTGTGTTAGCCTATGAGTGTCCATCAGTATCTAAGTATGGTTTGGATAAGTAAAGAGCTCACCCTTAGTTGTGATGGAACTGACTGAGGGGAGAAGATGGGGCAGGGAGATATATAACTGTTGGTTTGTATTCCTATGTTTGACTCCACTGCTGTTGGCTTGTTGTGTCAACCACGTGCATATTAGCACCAACACTCCTCCTCAATTTCTCACTTCAGACCGAGGCATGTGCACAGCCGTTCGAAGTCTTTCCATGGTAAAGCTTTAGTAAAGATGTTGGCAGCATTATTGATTGATTTGACATAGTGGAGCTTAAGTTGTCCAAGGGTGACACACTCACAAATGGAGTGGAGTGGATATTGATGTCAATATGTTTAACCTTTGAGTGATAAGACACATCTTCAGATAGAGTGATACTGCCAGTGTTGTCGCATAGAAGGGGCGTTGCTGATGGTTGGACAAACTCAAGTTCACAAAGTAAGGTGCCAATCCAGGCAACTTCCTTAGTGGCGTCAGATGCAGCGACATATTCTGCCTCACAAGTAGATAGGGATATGGTTTTCTGTTGTTGGGCACTCCATGTGACCATACTGCTGCCCAAGGTGAAACAGTAACCACTAACGGATCACTAAGTATCAGGACAGTTTGCAAAATCACTGTCTGTGAAGCCTAGTAAGTGCACAGGATGTTCCCCACCAAGGACAATTTTGAGATCTCGGGAGCCCTTGAGGTAATGAACAACACATTTGGCTGCGTCCCAATGGACAGGTCCATAGAAATCAAGGTGGCAGTATAACTGTTGGACAGTGTGTGTGATATCTGGTCAGGTACCAATTGCAAGATACATAAGGGAGCCAATAAGTGAGCAGTATGGGGTCTGGGACATTAAGTCATATTGGGCATTGGTGGAAGGGGAGTGTGTCCAATGGGATAGGTGAAGTCCTGCTTCCATTGGTATAGATATGGGAACAGTGTCTTTGAGGCTGAACTGAGTTACAATACAATTGATAAGGGCAGTCTGAGACAAGCTGATAGTTCAGGTCACACAATTATGTTCAAGTGTGATTCCCAGACAAAAACAAGCTTCCCTGAGGTCAGAGACAGTCCATTTAGTGTGCAGTTGGTCTTTGAAGTGAGATATCACTGCCTTGGTACTGCTGACAGTGAGAAAATCGTCAACATGGACCATAATGAGGAGTATGCCGACTTTGGTCCATTAATAGTAGATGCAGTGCTCGCATTTGAGTCATGTGAACCCCCAGGATAGCATGGTTTTGTTCATTGTTCTATTCCAGACAAGGCTGCCCTGCTTCATTTCATACAATCCCTTCTGAAGTTCCCATACCCAGTCCTCCTTACCCTTCTCCATGAAGCCCTCTGGTTGCTCCATATAACACACTTTGTTGGATTCCAGTAGCCTGTTAAGGTTGTGCTCAAGGGGGAGGTTACTCAAAGGGCTTCAGCTTCAGCTCGTGCACTGTGCCCCTTACCTGAGTACGTGCCCTTAATTTCCGGTGGGCAGAGGGGAAGTCCGATGGAAGTCTGGGGAGTTCCGGAGGACAAATGTCAGTGGAGTTTGGCGGAACTCCAGAAGACTATGTGGGGACGGAGTAAGGCTACTACGGAAATCCAGAGTAGAAACAGAACAGAGGTTAGACTACCCTAAGGTAGAGCCGGAGGATTAGTCCTAAGGTTTAACCCCTAAGACTTGGAGGTGGACAAGAGATGAGACTCAAGTCTGGAGATTGCAGGAATGAGCAGAACTAAGATGATATTTGAACTAAGGAGTTCTGGAGTATTACAGGGGTTTATATACTGTAGGTATCATGTAAGTAAATCAGTCAGCAAAGGTAAGGGCTATGTACGAAGCATGTGGAAAGTCTATTACTAAGTGTAACGGATCAAAGCAGTGAAGTCGGAAATGAAGTAAGAATGGACAGATCAGTAAGCATAGCGGAATAGGACATAACCGGTAACCAGAGCAATAGCTAATCTAAAAGGAGTTAGGGGTGAGTGCAGAGATGAAGGCGGAGCACTGGGCGGAATAGCAAGATGGAGGACTGGACTTTAATGAAGTAGATCCAGAATTCCAGATCCGGAGGTACGGGATATGACATAGCCCATGAAGGAACACAGTCTTAATGTCAAGTTGGTCAATTTTGCAGTCCAGTGTGGCACCTAAATGAGTGAGGATACAAAAAGACTCTAGGCGTGCAGTAGGTGCAGAAGTTTTTGTGTAATCTTGACCCCAGACAGTGGAGTAACTGTGGCAGACATAACAGTGTGGGTACAACAAGTGCAGCAGAGAGAAATCGATCTACTACAAAGTTGGGTCTTTGCTGCCTACTGCCTCACTTGAGAACAAGCATGTTCGACCCTAAAGGGGATTGCTACTGGGGAGTGCTAATCTCTGTCTAAATGACCCTATTCAACCCTACCGCAGGTAGGATGAGGATCCACAAAAATGTGGAACAAGCGGAACTCAAGTGGAATGGAACAGAATGAAGCAGAACTCAACTGGATACAATGCGGAATGTAAGGAGTTGTCAGAACTTGCAGGTCAAGTCAAAGGAAGTATATCACAAGGTTAGATTGATAGTGGGCACAAGTCAAAGCAGTCCTCTAGTAAGGTGAAGGAAAAGTGGGAAGGTAAAAGATGGGATTTGATAAAAAAACACCCAAGCCCTGAGTACCACTACTTAAAGGGAAGATTATTTTCAAGGAACACTGAGGTACAGGTAGTAAATTCCCAGGAAGCGGAAGTGAAGGCAGGCAGTGCACAAGGGCGCAATACCTCGCAATAGGGGTCCGTGCCATAAGGGCATGTGTCAGTTTGATCCGGATAATGTTAGGAACAGCGGGAAGAGAGATACAGTGTACCAATGGACCTGGAAGGATGGGGACAGGACATGCGAAGGTCGTCCAATGATGCGTGGGAATATTGGATAGTGCAGGCGGGTTCCGAAGGATGCGCAGGAATGCGGAACCCATCAGACGATGTGCAGGAAATGCGGAACATGCAGAATATGCGGAACTGATGTGAGACAATGCGGAAAGGACAGGGTTTTACACCTACAGTGGGGGAATTCCCCACAACGGGCTTTAAAACACACAGGCTTACTGTCTTGATTGCATTTGAGTTTGAAGACTGGGTGCCCCCATATGATTTTACGGCCAGGGGGAACTGCAGATTGATAAGGTTTTCTATGGGTAACCCTAGGGTTTGATTTTCACACACCCTACCCATACCCTTGCACACCCCACCCATCAGGGGTATGGGTATAAACCAAACTGTCAAAACAACGGTGTCACATGAAACCCGCGGTGTCATGAAACCCACAGTTAATAGGGGTATAAACCAAACTGTCAAAACAGCAGTGTCACATGAAACCCGTGGTGTCATTGAAACCTGCGGTTAATTGGCAATACAGGCTACAAATGATAACTAAATGCTAGAGATATGCTTATTCAATCAACTCAACATCCAATGATTCTTGTTTCCTCTTAGAATTAGCCTTCACAGCAGCTACAAGGTCTTCAAACAAGATAAGATCATGACAAGCCCAGGAGCCGAGACAGAGAAATGCTCAAATAGATGAACCCTGAAGGCAGTTGCGAGTGAAAGACAGCAAGTGGTGACCCTGTGAGAAGACACATTTGACTGCAGTAGACGTAGCTTTGTTTTTAAATAAATTAGTGATAATGCAAAGTTAAAAAAAAACAGTACCTGGAATACTCAGATAGTCCAATGCCATTTGAAAGAGATTTGGATAGACATGACGGTTAGAAACCCACAACTTAAGAGGCTCCTTGACATTCTTGACTGGTTTGCGGAGGTACTCATCAAGCTCGCTAGTCTGAGATCCAATACCAGTAGTCATTGAAATATTTGCAAAGGATGTGAAGTTGTCATTGTTGATCTGGATAATAAGTATCAAAAACATATAATATATTGCAGTAGGAAACTTACTGAGTCATTTGTTGTGCTGGAATTGAGCACTTGCACAGGATTTGATTTTCCCTTGTATTGTTTGACATATACTTCACTCATGATCTCCTTCGCATGGCTGATCCATTTGTCCTTCCATTCTTGCTACCAAAAGTATTCGAGCTTGAGACCAGGATGTAGAACTAAGTAAAGGTGAGTTGTCTGTGATAATAAAAATAGATTGGATGCTTACCCATTGCAATTTGGTATAAGGAAGAAATATCAGTCATCAAATAGTAGTGGTTGATCTTCTTGCATGCAAGCTTCATAGGGGCCTTGATGGCTAGATGGTATGGGTTCCTGGTATGAGGGTTGAGATGGGAGTTGAGTTTGTCCATTGCAGGTATCACAGCGGCAATGCTCACTGAATCTTGAGAGAAGAAAAGAGTTGCTTTTTTGTATGTCTATACACAAAGAAGAATCAGTAGCTAAACATAATCCAAAATGAATAGGCATGCACACCTCAAGAAAAGCAATTGCACTCTTATAAGCAAGCACAAACTTCATCATGTTGTATGTTGAGTCCCAGTGTGTGACAACATCACATGGGATAAGTCATTCCTTGAGGTTGAGCTCACAGCAAACCTTGCGCCATGCTGGGAGAGCTATTGTAGTTGAATGTATGATTGCAAATGAGAGTCTTTGTATCTGTAGTGAATAGTTAGTATATGACAGAGTTGGCAAAGAAAACATATGTTATCTTGGTGATCGTGTCACAGACAGCAGCAGTGTCTTCCAGCAGTCTGGCCTGTTCAACCTCGCCCAACTCCTGCAGCTCATCAATTTTGTCATCCTGATTGTCACTCTCATCTTCACCCTGCTCATCTTCTTCACCCTGGCCTTCGTCATCTTCAAGCATCGCATATCCATCAACTTCACCTTCAAGGTTTTCCGGTGCGTTGTTGTTGTCATCCTTGCCAGAGAGTGCCGTATTGAATGGTCGTAGGAGAGTCTTGGTGGAAAGTTGGAGCATGTGATTGAAGCAGTGGGCACAATTTTCTTTGGCAAATGAGTTGGGCAATTGGTCGAGTTTCATTGTCTGCATATCATTGGACGTGGCATTGTCACCATTGAAGGCGAGAATCTTCTGAGTCAGTCCAAAATATTCAAGCATCTTTTGAAATGCACGCGCCAATGTAGCACCTGTGTGAGACTGAAAAACAAGGGTGAGTTGAGAGAATGATTATATATTATTGACTCACTTCAGGAACCTCAACTATATCAAGTAGAAATGCGAGCATGATACCTTCATACTCAATATGACCAGTCCATGCCACAAATGTGTGATGATTGGTAGCTGTCCAGGCATCTGTTCCAAAATGAACAAGACCAGGGTGCTCCTGTAATTGTGAGGTTAGTCAAATTGCTGAAGACTACATAGCAGACGCACCTGAAGCAACTTTGCAATGCGCACCCGCCACTTTTCAAAAGATGTGCTGATGTCACGAGAGATGGTTTGGTTGGAAGGAAGTGGTCAGCCAGCTGTCAAAAGATTGCACAATTCCATGTCATTGATGATGTTGACAGGTCGGTTGTTTTCAGTGATCCATTGTACAAGATGGGCACTACTATCTGTCACAGTAAGTATTCCAATGTGAAGGTACACTGAAAAGAAGAACATACCGTAATTCTGGGTTAGTGTGAACACAATGCGAATACTTGACTGGCTGTTTGCTGTTTCGTGCAAAGAGGGCAAAAACCGAGCCATTGCATTCAGAGGCTGCCTTACCACTGATGGCAGCATTGACAGCGTCTTCACCAAAGCAATGAATTGCGTGATGCTTCAGATTAGCTGTTGAAGACTTGTCCTTTGAATCCTGAAATCGGCGAACACCACCAGCATGCAATTTGCATGTGGGAGCAGCACAGGTGAAAAAGTGACATGGTTGCATATCATGATACTGAAAGGTGACAGTAGGTTTGAAGAATGCGTAGATCGGTGAACGCTGGGCTTTTTTAAGTTGTTCTAGTATGTATTAGCATTGAAGTGAAAGGAATGACACATAAAACATACTGAGTTCTTGTTCAGGACTCAGCTCAGTGCTCTCAGGCTCACTATGATCAACTGCCTGACTTTCTCCATTGTTATTGTTATCGTCATTCTCATCATTCTCATCGTGTGGGAGCGTTGTTGTTGATGAGCAAGGTCTGGTAGAAACTTGAGAAGACATTGTAGAGATAGATTTCTTGAGTTTTTTAAATGGTCAGGAAATGGCCTGGACAGGTGCTGTCTTTCAGGAGATGGTTGAAGACTTTGTGGAGGATGTGTCAGTTGGCTTCACCATACTGAGAGGAAGTTCCAATGACTTACCTGGTGTGTCAGTGTCCATTTTATACTATTCTGAAGCCACTTCTCAATATATTGACCCTTTGACTCTTCACCATTTGTCCGATTTGAGCAGTAGTGTGCCAGTACTCTGACCATGCTAGTGGTGTGTGTCCAAGTTGTGGGAAGCAAGAATTAGCTAGCAGCCTGGGAGTGTTATCTGAATGCCGCCAAGTCAAGCATTTAACAACTGAATTGGAGTGATATTCAAGCTTCAAGTTGAGTGAACCAGGTGGGTGCAACACAACAAGAAAACCCACTACTACCCATGATACCGCAGTTCGGGTACATGGTTTGACCTCAGCATACCAAATATGGTACCTTACCCTAACCCGTGCAACCCCTAACCCTAACACCACAGGTTTTTCCTCACCCGAGGCAAACCTTACAGATCGAGGGACTAACTTGTAGACACTGAGTTCTCACAGTGAGTCGAATTCCTCTTTCAGGGCTGCTGTCCATTCAGGTGCGTGTTTTGACACCATAGCCTCAGTATAGGTGGTAGGGTCATCTGGCTGTCATCTGGCCGTCATAGCTCCTCCTCAGACAAGACAGCTGCAAGAGTGTTGCCAGGCAGGTCAGAACACAAACCCTGTAGGTGCTCAGCTGCAGCAAGGGAGTCTAGAATGGCACATTGAGTGGGTGACACATAAGGCTGACCATCCACAGCACAGTGCCATTCAGAAGGCTTTGAAGCACATTTGGAGTGCTGGGGCAGATCAACAGCAGGTGGTGCAGAGGGAAGAGGCATAGAGGCGTCAATATCAGGAACATCTTTGATGGTGACTGATTGTGTAGTGGTGGCAGGAGGCACTGACAAGGCAGGTGGTGCAGGAAGGACAGAGGGGGGTGTACCACATTGATGGGACTCTATGAAAGAGATGTGATAAGACATGAAGACTTTGTGAGTATCACAGTGATAACAGTGGTAGGCTTTGGAATTGAGAGAGTACCTGATGAAAGCACATTTGATGGAGTGGCTATAAACTTTCAGGTTGTGTTGGTTCTGTATGAGGACAAATGCTCTGCAACCAATTTCACAGTAAGTGTGAAAGATCTGGTCGATGACCTGTCCAACGCTTGAAAGGCGTATGTCCAGCTTGGGAGGTGACAGGAGTGCAGTTAGAAAGGTAACAAGCGGTAAGCATGAACTCATCCCAATGGTTGATGGGTACACCACAAGCAGACCTCATAGCCCAAGCTTTTCCCATCAATGTTTGATGCAGGCATTCAACATGACCATTTTGCGCATAGGTGTGAGGGGCAGTGAACTGATGCTGAGATCCATGTGAGAGGAGCCACTCCCACATGTTCTCACTCTTCAGTTCACCATTGTCAGAGCAATAGATACCAACCTTTGACCCAGACTCGACCTTGTGAGTGAGCACCCATGCTTGCAGGGCAGGAAAAGTGTCCAACTTAGCTGCAAGTGGAATAGTCCACATGTAAGAGGAGAAATTGTCGATGAGGTCCATGACATATTTATTACCGGCAGCCAACACAGTATCAGGATGCTCCATAAGGTTCACATGAACAATTCCAAGCTTCCTACTAGCTCTACACCCCTCACAAGTTTTCAGGACAGCAGTCCACATCTGCTTGCCAAGGATGAAATCATCATGCTTGGGAGGTATGGCAGAAAGGTTAATAGGCATACCAGTAGCATTACCAGAGCGGGCAAGGTCATAGACCATGCGGTAGTTTGCATGTCCGAGATGACAATGCTAAGACTGTAGAGTAGGGAGTTGGTGGGTCAGATAGGCATGTTCCACAGACAGCTGGCTGCTGGAAAGGGCATAGAGGCAGTGTGACGTCAAAGTGCCGGAAAGCATGCAAGAACCACTATGTTCTTGGACCCAGCAGGTGGTAGCATCAAAAGATGTGATGCATTGATGCACTGTGCAGAGAGCAGAGACAGAGACAAGGCACACCGTAGCTGTAGTAATAAAGAGGACATTGTCGAGGGTAATATGAATTCCCCAAGTGACAACTAGATGTAAGGGGGGGCCCTTGAACTCGTACCACCACCATGGACAGTTTTTCCCACGCATTTTCACGGGCAAGGTAGAGCAATTCACACTCACAGTGAACAACTGGCCTCAACATAATATAATATACAATATAAAACAATCTCCCTTATTACAACAAATGGTACACATAAGTACGACGCAGCCGACTCCACACACGAATCATCCTGACGAAACCATACAAAAACAAGCACCAAAGTGTAACAATCCGCAGCACAACCACAAACCCAATTACATCAAGGCAGACATACCACCAGCAAATACCACCAAACTAAACCAAAATGAGCCCCACCAGAAACACGATGTAAGATAATGAACACATATCAAATCCACCACCCAATCCACTCACCCTTACCCCTCACTTCCCCGACTCCCCCCAAATACCCCCTGTGCTGGGCCAAAATTCTTCCCCCCCAATGTCCTACCAGAAGATGACCAAATGGACTCCCTGCTGCTAGGAAATGATAAGACCCCACCTACAGCTACCTCACCGCCCATAGTCACATCCCCTTCCAATATGGTTACCCCAACCCCAGCCGGTAGAACCACAAGAGGCATTAACCTCTCCCCTGACGTACTTCTGGTACCACCCCCACCCCCTGAACCCGCCTTGCACATTATCATGTCCCCCCATAGTGACCTCGCACAGTCAATACATGCCCCAAAAAGCCTGCCCGACAACCACCAAATGAGCGCCCCGCCATCCCCCTCCCCTACCTACACCCCAAACAAGGAGGAAAGAGCCATTCTAGGCCATTTAGCCTTTGCTGAAAAGAACTGCTCAATGGTCCGGCATGATGGCCCCCACCAGTGCACCACACTCCCTCAGTTCACGCCAATGCCAATAGGCGGCTTCCCACACACCCACATGTCACACTCAGCCCAGATCTTCAACCATCTAGACAACCGAGTACTGCTTGCTTGGTTCCAAGTCCCCCACCCCAAACTCGTAGTACAAGTCTTTGACCACACCGGTAAGGACGTAGCCGAAAAGGCGGTGATTCTAGCTGAACGCATCCGCACAAAAGTGGGCATTGTCGCGAACTTCGTACACCAAGACGCTCAACCAGTATGCATCTCCCCGCCACAACCCCAAGGCAGGAAAGAGAGTAAGGAACTACCCATCGGATTCCTAGTCCACAACATATCAGAAGAGACGAAGGACCTCCTCCTCGAGAAGCGCATATGGTCAGCCAGTGACATCACATTCAAAGCTCACAGCTTCAGCTGCTATGAACCCCCTGAACTACTCTTCTGCCTAACCAGCTTCACAACCTCCTCAACCCAACTCATCCACTAAGTGGTCGCAGATATATGGGCCTCCGACGAGACTAGAGCTGAGATTAATGATATTATCTCCATGAGCGAGATCGATGACAAAGAAAAGGTGTACCAAGCTACCTGGAAATTCATCTGGTCCATTAGGATAGAGCATCTTGACTTCAAAGTAACAGGTGGGCTATCTGTTCCCCATTTCAACGTCTTCACGGTCAGCCTCATACGTACCGCCAAATCCTGGACAGACCTCCATTCCCTCCTACACATCCTTGACTACCCAACTGGCCTCAACAGCTGCGGGTCAGCAGTAGCCCTATCTGCGTGCCCCATATGCCACTCCATCGCCCACCCAAGGGGTTTATGCCCATTCCCCAAAGTACCATCGTGGAACGGCCCCAGAATTGGGATGAAGTCCACAATCCAAGCAGCGAGAAACCAGAGATCGAAAGGGAAACGCCCAACTTACCAGTAAGCAGATAATATCACACCCCACACACAATCTTCTGCACATAGTACAGATTACCCCCACCAGTACCACCCCCCTACTCCCAAAATAAATAATACATAAAAATATATCCACCCATCGCTTCATCCGTACTACTAGCCTCGCCACCCATGCAAATATGATCCTTGTGCATGCTAAAAATTAATGAGACCCCTCAACAAACAACACACTCCCTCGTCAAACCAGCTCAGGCCCAAGACCTGAATACAATGTGTACAATGATAAGGAATCGGTAGCTCACGGGAGACATGAACTACCACCTCTATGTTATCTGCCCACATTTACTGACTGCGCAAGCGGGACAGGAAAGCGATGATGTCTCACAATCGCATGGTGCATACCAGACCATGGAGGTTTATTTAGGCCCAGACGAGCCGTGCCGAGAGGCTCAAGTCCCTGCTAGTATGAATGGTTATGAGCTTGGGCTCAGACCATACTGAAACCACTGACATAGTCCATCCGAGAAGCCGGAAAATGACACCCCTGACCTGTCTACTAGTCGAATGACAGGTAAAGTACATCGACTACTGAAAACAACAACAACTCCTCCCCTTCTTCCCCCGGTCACATTCACGGTTTTGGTTCATGCCTCCCCAGATGCAGAGGGGGGCCCTCTTCCATTGCCAGAGCACCCCCTGATGACACACCAGGAGAGTTCGGTGGTGTAGTCTGTCCCCCCCAGCCCCATCAGGCTCTAGCACACCAAGCTGTTATAAACCCGGATAAAAAAACAAGGGCTAACATCACCATAGCAACCCTTAACATAAAGGGACGAGCCTCCCCAACAGCGGGACCTGGTCCATTATCTAAATGGCCCATCATAAATAAAACAATGAGAGAAAACTGAATCGGTGTGCTATGTGTACAAGAAACGCACCTTACACCAGAACACCTAAAACAATTAGATGATCTGTTCTCCAGACGTCTGGTAATCTTTAACACCAGTGACCCATCCTGCCCTGGTAACTCGGCAGGAATTGCCTTTATAATAAACAAAGAAAGCGCTAATACAATGGACACTAAGATGACCCCACTGATACCAGGGCACACCGCTGCTCTCTCACTAAAATGGTACAATAATGAGACAATTAAAATACTAAATATATATGCACCTAACAACACTAACAAACACCCAGCCTTCTGGGAGAAAATCAAAGCAGAATGTCAAAAACACAACCTAGGATGCCTAGACTTCATGCTCAGTGACTTCAACCTCACAGAAAACCCCATTGACCATGTGCCAGCCCGACTCGATAACAAACAAGCAATTGAGGCTTTAAGAGACTTTAAATCAGCATTACAAGTACAAGATGTATGGCGAAACACATACCCATTCCAAAGGATGTTCACATTCAGCAGTAACCACCACTCCCTCTCCCGTCTAGACCAGATATACGTGGCAGAACGACATAATGAAAGCCTGCTGGACTGGAATGCACGTATAAGCCCAATTCCAACAGACCACCACATGGTATCAGTACGATATGCACCACCAGGCCTCCCGCACATCAGTAATGGAAGATGGTCTTGGCCGGCAGGACTACTGTCAGACAAATCACCAATAGAAAACATTATCAAAATGGGCATTGAGACACAGACACAACTAGAAAACCTACAACAGAGAGATGACGAGATAAACACCCAAATGATATGGGAATCCCTCAAGAAAAGAATGAATGAACTTACGAAAGACACGGCAAAGACACACCTGGCAAAAATAAACCAACACATCAGAAAACTACACAATGACCTACATAAAACAACGAACTCCAGAGACATCGACACCTCAGAGAACACATGTCTAAACAGAATCCTACTCAAAAAAGAAATAGAGCACCTGCAAAAGAAACAACACAAAAACACCAGCCTCAGATCCCAAGCACAATGGGCATGTAAAGGGGAAACAATAAACAAATACTAGTCAAAAATAAACAGCAAAAAAAGCCCCGAGAGACATCATCCACAAATTATGCATACCAAACACTTACATGACAAAATCTGAGGAGATGGCTGAAATCACCCGGAACTATCATGAAGCCACTCAACTGTTGGACACAGAAGAACAAGAAGGAAGTGATAGACCAAAAGCTAAAAGAGACGCAATGAGCACAATACCAGACTCACAGAAACTAAATGCACCTACCAGTCCTATGCACGACCTCCTACTAGAGGAACATGTGCTTGATGCCCCAACCTCATCAAAATCAGGAAGCGCCGCAGGGATAGACGGCATCCCCTACGAAGTATGGAAACTCCTACATGACAAACATAAAACTGCTAGCAAAATGAGAAACCTAGCTTCAATATTATTAAAACTATGACGCAAGTTATAAATGACATACAACTCCACAGCGTGTCCCCCAACTCGTCCTTCACATTGGGATGGATGTGCCCCCTGTACAAAAAGAAAGAACAATTGCTAATTGAGAACTACCACCCGATCACCCTGCTAAATACAGACTATAAGATCCTCACTAAAGCCCTCACAATGCAAATAGCAAAAGAGATATGCACCTTAATCCACCCAAACTAAAGCGGGCTCATCCCCCAAAGGTCTATCTTCGACCCAATAAAACTAGCACAGACCATGACCACGTACGCCGATCTAATGGAAGAAAACGGAGCAATCATCGCCCTTGACCAAGAAAAGGCGTATGACAGAATAAGACACAATTACCTTTTTGACACACTAGAAACCTTCAAGATACCACCACGATTCATAAACACCATAAAAAACCTATATGAATCAGCATTCACAAAAGTAGCAGTAAACGGCTTCCTGAGCTCACTGTTTCAAGTCACGAGAGGAGTACGACAGGGTGACCCCCTATCATGCCTCCTATTCGACTTAGCAATAGAACCACTGGTGTGTACACTATGCAACTCACCCAACATCCGAGGATACCACATCCCTGGGCTACCAGAAAGGATCATAGTAAACATGTACGCCGGCAATACCACCATATACCTCCCACAAGAGGACTGATATGCTGACCTCGAGGAAATATTGCAAAAATGGTGCCTAGCATCCGGCACGAAATTCAACATGGAGAAAACAGAAATCCTACTGATTGGATCCAAGGACCATAGAGCAAAGGTAGTCCAAACCCGTAGACTAAACAACACAGATGCACCATGGCACAAGAAAGTAAGGGTAGCAAGCAATGGGAACCCAGTTAGAACCTTGGGTGCCTGGATAGGAAACGAAATAGAACATGTGGTCTCCTGGGAACCAGTACTCGAAAAAATTGAGAAAAACCTAAAGAGGTGGAACATGTGCCACCCCTCCCTAGACGGAAAATGCCTAGTAACACAAATGATAGTTGGGGGCATGACCCAGTTCCTGACCAAGGCACAAGGAATGCCAAAATCCATAGAGAAGGCGCTAACAACACTGATGAAAGACTTCATATGGGACGGCAAGCGAACCTCACCAATAAGCTTAGAAAGACTCCAATGCCCGATACCTGAAGGAGGTGTTAGCCTTCTGGACATTAATGCAAGAAAGGACGTGATTGAGATAATGTGGATGAGTACATACATGAACACCTCGAATTTCCGCCCAGCCTGGGTGTTCGTGACTGGTGCAATCATCAACACCCTGAAACCTGATGGAATCAAAAATAACTCAGACATGAGGAGCTTCATAACCTCATGGAACCCGCCGACACAGGGCCCCAGAGCGAACCGACTGCCAAAACAGATAACCAACATGTTAAAAATGGCGTGAAAACACAAAATAAGCTTCGCACCCCTGAAGTTATCCAAAAACCTTAAAAGCCAACTACCGGCATGGCCACACCTCGGAGCTCCCCCAAAAACATACCACAAGATGAAAGACGCATGCCTTCATCAAACCCACAAAATTGAATCAGTAAAGGACATGAAGTCACTCGTCTTGAGGCTGTCCAAAAGAAGGACCCACTACACAAAAAAAGACTGCACATGTCAAGAGTGCAACACAGACAGACTGACTGGATGTACAAACCTGCATAAATGCACCAAAACAGCGAGGGACATACTCAAAAGACTCTTACCAAATTTCAACACAAATACCCCCCCGAAAAAGGACGATCTAACTCTGACGCATAGACAACTTGAGAAAAACTCACGTGCAAAACAACAACAGCGAGGAGAGATACTGTTTGACCCATCTATAACCGCCAAAAGCGACCTATCAGAGTGCTTCAGAATCTTTGTAGACCCAGAGCGGCTAACCCAAATGCCAGTGCATAGACTTCAGACTCCAACAAGGGGCAGATGAACAAATGACAGAAAACTCACGATATACACAGATGGCTCCTGCACTAACAACAGGAAAGAAAACACAAAGTGTGGTGGCGGAATCTGGGTGGGAGACAACCATCCCCTAAACGGAGCAATAAGGATCCCAGGCCCAGACCAATCAAACCAGGTGGGTGAATTAGCAGCCATACTAGTGGCATTACAATCAGTAGACCCCCTAACTCCACTAACAATAATAACGGACTCACGATACATCATCAATGGTCTGACTACACACCTGAAAGAATGGGAAGACCAAGGATGGATCGGGATTGCAAATAGCACACTATTCCAGGCCACGGCATATCACCTAAGGCAAAGATCAGCCTTGACTGCCTTCCAATGGATCAAAGGACACAACGGGAACCTTGCTAATGAGAGAGCCCAACTGGCCAATGCTGGAACCCAAAAAAAACAACCCAGACACCATAAACATGTCTGTACCTCTGGAATTTGACCTCCAAGGCACAAAGCTAACGTCTATGACACAACAATTAGCATACAGAGGGATCTTGGCGAAGACCCACCTGGACTACAAGAAGACGACCCTTGGCCTGCTGGATATCACATGTTACATGTCATATCCTGTACCTCCGGATCCGGAATTCTGGATCTACTTCATTGAAGTCCGGTCCTCTGTCTTACTATTCCGCCCGGTGCTCCACCTTCATCTCTGCACTCACCCCTAACTCCTTTTAGATTAGCTATTGCTCTGGTTACCAGTTATGTCCTATTCCGCTATGCTTACTGATCCGTCCATTCTTACTTCATTTCCGACTTCACTGCTTTGATCTGTTATACTTAGTAATAGACTTTCCACATGCTTCATACATAGCCCTTACCTTTGCTGACTGATTTACTTACATGATACCTATAGTATATAAACCCCTGTAATACTCCGGAACTCCTCAGTTTGAATATCATCTTAGCTCTGCTCATTCCTGTAATCCCCAGACTTGAGTCTCACCTCTTGTCCACCTCCGAGTCTTAAGGGTTAAACCTTAGGACTACTTCTCCGGCTCTACCTTAGGGTAGTCTAACCTCTGTTCAGTTTCTACTCTGAACTTCCGTAGTAGCCTTACTCTGTCCCTGCATAAACCTTCCGGAGTTCCGCCGAACTCCACTGACACTAAGTCCTCCGGAACTCCCCGGACTTCTGTCGGACTTCCCCTCTGTCCCCCGGAAATTAAAGGGCGCGTACTCAGGTAAGGGGCACAGTGCACGAGCTGAAGCCGAAGCCCTTTGAGTAACCTCTCCCTTGAGCACGACCTTAACAGTTACGCCATCGAAACTGTCTCTAAAACAATTGAATCAGATAAAACTATATGGACAAGTTGCAGAAACAAAGACATCTCCAAAAAGGTACAAATGTTCCTATACAAACACTTCAAAATGCATACAAAGTAGGGGATTTCTGGCTGCAGATACCTACCTTCAAACAGCGAGCACGATGTCGGATATGTGATGAGGACTCAGAGTCGATGGACCACATCCTCACTCAATGCAATAACCCTGCAAGAACCACTATCTGGGAGCTAGCAAGGAACATATGGCCTGATAAATATGAACAGTGGCCAAACATCACAATAGGCCTCATTCTGGGCTGCGGGGCACTCACATTCCCCCATAATCCAACAGACACTGACCCAAACAACAAAGCACATGCCGCCGCCAAAAAGGGAGCAGCAAGACTACTCCGAATTCTCATATCAGAGTCAGCATATCTGATCTGGACCTTAAGATGTGAGAGAGTCATAAGGGAAGCCACCACCACAGAAAACAACATCGTAAAAAGATGGATACACGCGATAGATAAATGACTGCAGATAGACAGAGTAATAGCAACAAAACACAAACGAAACCAGAAAGCAATCGCGCAAGTCCAAAACACGTGGGCTGATGTAATAACCATAGACACACTTCTCCACAAAGACTGGGTGACCACCCTTGAGGTTTAAGTGGGTATAAAGCTACCCAGGCCCCTGCAGACCAAGGTAACCAGGTAGTACAGTGGCTCAAAAAACTGTCCGCATGTTTTCACATTTTTCACTATCTATGATATTGTGTGAGAATGTACAAACACATCAAGGACATGCTGGTACCATATTGTAGTACTACTTCAGGGCTTCCAATTGAGCCCTATGGCGTGGGAATTGGTCGAGATATGGTGGAGATATGAGGCTTACAAAATGATGACTCATGCGGACAGTTTTTTGACTCAAGTATTTTACAGTGATAATCAGGTATTCTAGTACATTGTGTGACCTCCCTTGGCTTTAATTACTGCCTCTATCCTTCTAGGCATACTCTCAATCAATTTCTGGCAATATTCTGCTGTAATCCTTGCCCATTCCACTGCTACTCTCTCCCATAGCTCCTATACTCCTTTAGGGGGGGTTTCATAGGCTTGAAGCATCTTCTTGAGTATTCTCCAGAGATGTTCAATGACATTGACATCAGGGGACTGTGCTGGTCAGTCAAGAACATTGATATTATGTTCTTTAAACCATTGTCTGGCTCTCCTAGATGTGTGCTTGGGATCATTATCCTGTTAGAAAATGATGTCTTCTTCATCAATCCCTGAGTCAGCTATGCTAGGCAGCAAGTGGTCATTTAGAATGTCCACATACTGCTCAGCATCCATCCTCCCCTCAACTTCAGTGGGCATACCCACACCATTCCATCTCATACAGCCCCATACCATTAGAGAACCTCCTCCAAATCTGACAGCCTCACTAACCTCTCTGTCTGTTAGAAAATCCCTCTTCTTTTTCCATACATATACCTTCCCATCTGACCCAATCCTATTGATTTTGGTCTCATCTGAACATATAACATGCTTCCAGTCCTCTACAGTCCAGTTTTGATGGGCCAAGCCAAAGGCAGTCTTTTCAGCCTATGTTTAATAGAGATAAGAGGCATTTCTTCTTTGTTACTGCCTTGAGATGAGCTGCCTTGAGAACATTCCTCACAGTTTGTGAAGAGACAGTGGTGGTGATGGTGGAATTGGTATAATGGGTGGCTTGGAGGGCATTATTAGCCTTTCCTGTAGTGATATGTTGGATGATAGCCCCCTTATTAGCAGAGGTGGACGTCCTCCACAAGAGTTTTCCTTGTCCAGGTGGCTTTCTTTGATACACTTGGCTGCAGTAGACTTGCATACTTCAGTTCTAGAGGAAATTTGATGAGCAGAGAGGCCAGCATAGGACAAAGAGAAGATATTATCCCTTTGAGTAGAGGAGACGGCTTTCATGGTAATTATGACCATGACACATGAGACATTCTGGTTTATATAGTTAGATATAGTTTTAAGAGTATGCCTAGAAGGATAGAGGCAGTAATTAAAGCCAAGGGAGGTCACACAATGTACTAGAATACCTGATTATCACTGTAAAATACTTGAGTCAAAAAACTGTCCGCATGAGTCATCATTTTGTAAGCCTCATATCTCCACCATATCTCGACCAATTCCCATGCCATAGGGCTCAATTGGAAGCCCTGAAGTAGTACTACAATATGGTACCAGCATGTCCTTGATGTGTTTGTATATTCTCACACAATATCATAGATAGTGAAAAATGTGAAAACATGTGGACAGTTTTTTGAGCCACTGTATATGGAGTCCCACACTACTCTACACAAGTAGAGTGTGCTTAAGTTGCATTTTTCCTTGGATGATGCCTAGGCTGTCACTATAAGCGTTTATATAGGGCCAGACAGTGTCAGTTGCTATATAATAGACTCACTTTTCCAAAAAAAAAAAAAAAAAAAAACTAGATGTAAGATCCCAATGCCCAATGTCACCATCGCATCCCTCTACTTGTACATTTCAAGACAACAGGTTGAAGCCTGTATCTGCAGTGGATCCAAGATTGGTCACACCCCCTTTGTTGAGCAATTCTATTACTGATGTCTATATGGTGGATGACCATGGCAAGCCCATTAGGGCTTAATCAAGCAATCCATTTGTCACAGTACCAGCCATATATGGACTACATGGGGAGAAAGTACATTTATTGGCTACTGTTGACAATGAAGCCATGATCAACACCATGACACAGCAGCATACCAACACACTGCAAGACAATTATCTCTGCTAAGTCCATCATTGTGAACACTATGCATGGCTGACAGTTCACTAGTACCATCAACAGGCATCTGGACAGGAACTATTTCATGGGGACCTATCAACATACAAACATCATTCAAAGTGTTCCCTGGTGGAGGATCATGGAGAATGCTACTTGGAAAACCCACTGGAACAAGTCAATGCCACCTAAGAATATGGCACAGACTTGATCCTCTTACCATATAAGTCCACACAACACCATATTTTCAAATTTTCCACTTTCTGTCCTCTCCCAATACCATGCTTATCAACAGCCATCAGTTTCCCTTTATGCTCAGTGTTCATGCCCCCAGATAGTGTGTCAAATGATGCACCACATCAAGTCAATTTGCAAACTAACAACAAAGACCAACCAATCATTTTCCATCTTGATGATGCAATGGACAAACCTTTGATGGGTGAAGTACCTGAATTCTCATTACCAACACAGACAGATGACATTTTCACAAGGTTAACTGAACATGGACTGTTCTATCCACCACAAGTTGAAGCAATTGCCAATGCAGTACACTATGGATCACAACTCCAAATGGATCAACATCAGAAGGCATGTGACCTGATCATCAAATTTACTGACTGCTTTGCCTTGTCTGCTTGAGAAGTTAAACCAGTGGACCTCATTAAATTCTGACTAGCAATACCAGAGGGCACTACATTCCCCAAGAAAGTCCACCAAAGGCCATTGACACCAGCACAACAAGAGTATCTCTTCCCAGTACTGGATGAGATATGGAAAGCAGGAATCACATGGTTCATCCCATCTGATAAAGTAAAAGCGGTCACATCAACAGTCTTAATACAGAAAATGCACTCGAGTACCAGCCTGTCGCTCAATGAGATCCATCACATTGTTAATCAACAATGTGTTGACCTTGGTGAGCTGCTGGATTCAAATTATGAGCCAATCTCAGGAAGCCCTCCCTCCACAGAACCAATTGACCTTGTAAAGGTCAAGTGGTGTATCTGTCACGAATTCCCAATACGAATCATTTTTCTTTCCTCGGTTTTCCTTCGGCTATGTCCCATACCCGAACCGGTCACGTGACACCACTACCTTTCACATTATCACATCATCACCATGTCACAACTTCACCTCTTCACATTTCACCAATCACATCTCCAATCGGATCCCCTACGCCCAGGGCTAGAACTATATGTCTTCCTATCACTTAATCTCCGTCTCTGACATCATTGCTTATATATCGCGACGTCATGCGCAGTATCGTACGACTCTTTTCTCATTGGCTGATTATTTACAGACTCAGATATCTCTGATTCAATGTTATGTATATAGGAAGGATAGTTAGCGTAGTTTCTCTTTAGACTTAACCTCTTCGTTCCTACCCAGTGTAGACTCAGACGTTCACTCTCAATATCATCTCTTTGCTCTTATCCTTGACGAGTCCTAGTGGTTGTGTTAGGCCTTTACCATTTGGTGAACGCTGATCATAACATTAGGTTAAGTCTTCTTACCACTCCGACTCGAACTTTGTCGTGGACACCTTGTCCTCGATAAACTTCACCCGTGCTATTCTGCTGAGAGAACTCTCACGGATTACGTTTTTAACCATCTTTCCCAGACGTGCACTATACCAATTTCTTTTACGATAGTCTTTTGTAGAAGTAGACCAGGCCCTTGCCCTATGCGAGCCGCCAGTCTATAAGGAGCAGCGACACTTAGGTCCTGTTTCCGCACGCCTGCAGTTAGGTCCAAAACCCTACCGACTGCACGCTACCTACTTTTCTTTCGTACTATAAAGAACGGCACTCGCGGGTCTTACAACCCTAGTTACATTACCTTAGGAGGTTTTGGGTATCGAGAAGACCCAAACTTCACCGCGTCGCTCCCAAACTCCTTTCGAGTTCTACTTAGGTTGACGAACCGCTACACGCGCTGTATTCGCACCTATAGTCATCATAGCTCCCCCTTGGAGATCTCGTCTCGTCAGAGACCGCGCCCTACAAATCCACGACAACGATACCTGTCGGGAAAACAACTGCCCTTTCCTTCATGTCCGAGCAAGATTGGAGAACAATCCAATCCCCCGCCCCACACCACGCACCAATTCAAGGATGGCAGACACTAGGAGCAGGGCCGTCGGGATCTGCAGAAAGCTCCACACCGACCCTGTCAAGGCCGGGCTCTGTGGTAGCGGAAGGCATCTTAGGCCCTCAAGGGACTACCATCACCCACGAGAGCATTTCGAACGCCATATTCACCGTAACCGCAGCAGAAAGAGATCTAAACCAACACCGGTACAACAAGTTGAAAGATCATCTCGCACTCTTAGCCGAGAACCTAAACAGGGTGGAGACAGAGAAGAACGAGTTAGCCCAGAGGCTAGTGGCAGCGGAACAAACGATCATGGCTTTGCAAGCCTTTCGTACGACAACGCCAACAACACCAGCGTTTACCTCTGGAGTTTCGAGCTCTGATCTCAAGATGGCCAAACCTACAGAGTTCACAGGAGACAAGAACTCTATTGAGGTTGACACCTTCCTCTCTCAACTCGATCTCTACCTCACCTCCTATCCCACCACCTCTGAGCTCCAGAAGAGTTCCTGTCTTATTTCTTTCTGCAAGGGCTCTGCAGCGAAATGGGGAGAAAGCGTATCCAAAACTGCCTTAAGTGGACGACTTGGGTCTTACGACCAATTAAAAGGCGATATGCAAGCCATGTGGGGCATCGTCAACAAGGAAGAGAAGATTGCTCGGGAGATAGATCATCTCCAGCAAGGAAACTGCAACATCGCGGAATTCGTCTCTCTCTTCAGACAGAAGATCGCCCACTGCCATTTTTCAGACTACGAACTCATGTGCAAGTTCCGCCTTGCATTATCCCAACGGATCAGAGATCAGTTGGCCCACGTAAACCCTAGGGACAAGAGCACCCTGGAAGGCATGATTTCACAGGCTCTTATTATCGGAGCAAACTTTGAGGAACTGGACGATGAGAAAAAGAAGACCTGGCAACCACCACGTCGCCCATGGAATGAAAGAGGCCCTCTCAAACCAGTTTCTCAAGGAGGAGATGCAATGGATGTAGACGCATCAAAAACACGAGGTGGACCCCAACCTCAAGGCAAATCGGGAGACACTTTCAAGTGTTATCGTTGTGGAAAACCCGGGCACATGGCCCGTAATTGCACTGGACAACCAATGGATACCAAGGGCAAGAAACCCGCTATCAAAGCGGTCAAGGAAGAAGAAGAAGAGAAACCAGCGGTGAAGCCCATCACACTGGAGGATATCCAACGCATCGTGAACGAAAGAATTTTCTTAACCTCGTCAGATGAAGCATTGAAGAAACGGGGTTTTTAGGAGGGTCGAAGTTGACTGCGAACTTAGACCAGAACAATCATTTTTCTTTTCTTAGTGATTCGGCAATCATGTTTACAGAGGTATCAGAAGTTTGTTCTGGGAATAAACGAGATCATTTTTACTTGCCAATCACGTTGAAAGGAAAAAACAAAAAAGCAGAATTGGAAGCTCTAGTAGACTGTGGAGCAACGAACTTATTTCTAAGCCAAAAGTTCGTAGACAAGAACGAAGTCAAAACAAGGCAGTTACTGCGAGCACTGCCCATCCGCAATATTGATGGAACTAAAAACTCCGCCGGACCAATCAAAAGCTACGCAGATTTGACACTGAAGATAGGAGATCACGAGGAAGAAGTAGCCTTTCTGATCACAGATCTAGGAACCGATGATGTCATCATCGGAGTAGACTGGCTACGATATCATAATCCAAACATAGACTGGAATGCGGGAAAAATGACGTTGAACCGCTGCCCAGTCAAATGCGAGGATATTAGGATAAAGAGGAAAAAGAAAAGAACAAAAAAACAAAGAGATACGTTACCTGCCTTGTTGCCCATAGAAGAAGATGACGATGAAGTCACCATAGCCATGGCGCAATCTTCAGATTCGAATGCTCCTAAAAGAGTAGAAATGGAGGAGATCGAAGATGAAGATTCACCACGAAACCTATGGATCAAGTACAAAAGCTCGGTGGCTTCAGAGTTAGCTCAAAAAGAGGAAAAGAAGAAGGAAAAAAAGTCCGTAGAAGAGATGGTCCCAGAATGGCTCCATGACTATCTCAAGGTTTTCTCCGAAGAAGAATCTACTAGATTCCCCGAATCTAAGAAGTGGGATCATAAGGTAGACTTCAAGGATCCCAATGATCTTCCTCCAAATTCGAAAGCATATCCCCTTTCGCCAGCAGAACATGACGCATGTGAAAAGTGGCTCAAACAAGAATATGAATTAGGATGATTGCGAGATTCAGAATCTCCAGTAGCGGCTCCCTTCTTCTTTGTAGCCAAAAAAGACGGAAAACTTAGACCCGTCATGGACTATCGGAGGTTAAATGAGAAAACCGTCCGAAATGCATATCCTCTTCCTCGATCGCAAGATCTCATCGATTCTCTTACCGGTGCAAGCCTCTTTTCGAAAATGGACGTTCGATGGGGATACAATAATATTAGAATGCGAAAAGGAGATGAATGGAAGGCAGCCTTCAAAACTCCTTTCGGACACCATGAACCAGTAGTAATGTACTTCGGAATGACGAACTCTCCTGCCACTTTCCAAACCATGATGGACCAAATCTTCCAAGATCTAAAAGAAGGAAAAGTCGTTGTAGTCTATATCGACGACATCCTGGTTTTCACGAACGGTACCATAGAAGAACACAGAAAGACCTCTATCTCAAACCCGAAAAATGTTCATTCGAGAAAAAAGAAGTGGAATTTCTCGGACTAATCATCAAGGATGGACATGTTTCTATGGATCCAGTCAAGGTTAAAGGAGTACAAGAATGGCCCACTCCTACCTGTGTCAAGGACATCCAACGTTTCATGGGATTCGCAAATTTCTATCGTCGTTTCATTCTCGGATTCTCGAACATTGCCAAACCCATGAACGATCTCATTAGGAAGGATGTACCATGGAAATGGACGGACAAACAAGAAAAAGCTTTCCAAACCCTTAAAGACAATTTCACATCCTGCACCAATATTAGCAATGCCAGATGCCACAAAAAAGAAAAAAATCGAAACAGATGCATCTGACTATGCTACGGGTGGCGTATTGTCTCAAAAGGAAGATGATGGACTATGGCACCCTGTTGCCTTTTTTAGTAAATCTATGCAAGACGCAGAGCGGAACTATGATATTCATGACAAAGAACTATTAGCCATTATCCGCGCTTTGGAAGAGTGGAGGCATTATGTACAAGGAGCACCAGAACCGGTAGAGATATGGATGGATCACAAAAACCTTGAGTACTTCATGACAAGTCAGAAGTTGACTCGCAGACAAGCGAGATGGTCTTTGTTCCTTGCAGAGTATGAATTCACACTGCACCACAAACCGGGGAGGGTCAACGACACTGCCGACGCTCTGTCCAGGAGGCCAGATCACAAAGGGGGGGTAGAAAACGACAATTCGGATTCGCGTGCTTTTGAAACCCGAGTTTTTCCAAATAAAAGCCGCAAAAAGAGGTCAAGTTCTGATACAGGGAGAGCAAATGTTGCTTAAACAAATCAGAAACTGCACAGATCTAGATCCGGAAGTTCGAAATGCTATCGAAACCCTTAAGAAAGCCCCAGTACAACTGCGAAAAGGACTAGAGGAGTGGAATACAGAAGATGGACTTATTCTTTTCAGAGGATTGGTTTATGTACCCAATAACAAAGACATTCGCCGCTCAATACTGGAAATCTTTCACGATACACCAGCAGCAGGCCATATGGGACGTGCTAAGACTCTCGAACTCGTTTCCCATAACTATTGGTGGCCGCAAATGCA